GGTAAACGAAGGGCACACTGTGTTTAAACTTTACAAAAACAGGAAGCCACGTCTTAGTTTGCCAAACCCTACCATCGTGGTGAGGCTGGGATCCCAAGTCCTGTCCAGAATATCTGAACATTCTGAATGGATGCATATCACTGAGTATTTGTTTTCTGTGTCAGAGAGACATGCTCCAAGTGCACTACTCTGGTATGAAATTTTAGAACAGTGATGGAGAATATCAGTACCTTTTGCCCAGATTATTTAATGTGAAGAATCCAAGTGGAATATACATTAGGAGGGAGTGATGTTCTATTTCCCAGTGTCAGACTGACTAGGATGAAATTCACTTCAGTGTTCTTACCTAGAATAAAGCAAACAATTGCTTGGGAACTGGAAAGAGTAACTAAGCCTGCATTTCAGTTGGATTTCCATCCAGTCTCTGCCTTTAGAAGTTAAAATGATTAGTGTGACAAATTTCCATTTATCTTGTGTTTGATTACTTTTCATTTTTAAGTTACAAGATAAAAATGGTATGAGAAAATTAAAATATCTCAAAAGAAATTTAAACCATAAAAATTTTGGTACCTTTAATGAATTTTTCAATCTCAAATCAAAGCTAGAAATATCTCACATGTGAACTAAATGCCCATAGGAATCATATTGTGGTACTTGCCCCTCCCCGTCAATAATGCAAATACATTGATTCTTCACCAACAATTTTTTTTTTTTTTTTTTTTTTTTTTTTTGCTAGAGACTGAAAAATTTCCTTTCCAGTGAATTTCCATATTCAAGAATTTCTCAAGGCCTATGCCTGGTAAGACCTATTTTATACCTCTAAATTGCCAGTAAGAATTGGTCTCCAAGGATCTTTCAAGAAAGTAAAAATGTATTCCAAAGAATACTTAAAATCCTGTAGTATTTGTTCACTTTATCCAAGAGGGAAGAGAAGTCACAGAGGGTCCTCTGCATTCTTGCTACACAGGGGACAGGCATGTATGCTCAAATGCCAATCATATTCAGCCACGCCCTTTGAAGTGGGATGCTAAAAAGAATGATTACCTCTTTAAAAAAAATGACATTTCGCCAGTCACTAAAAGCTAACTTGAAGATTTATTGTAGATACTTAATTTGTGTTTTCCAAAAGACCTTTTCTTGTCCTATAAAATTGTCTACATATGGAGGAGGTACTCTGGTTGTGGACGAAGTTGGAGGAATGAGGAGTGAGGAGATGCAGAAAGAAGCCCAGTTCTTCATGATGTTCAAAGCCTGTTTGGCCTGTAGTCTTCCATCTACAGAGATTTCTGGGCCTGCTGTTTTCATCTGAAGATTGTGCATTGACAATGCACTGCAATTTCTCAAGCTATTGCATAAGAAATCAAATGCTAAGTTTTGGCAATCTATAGGCAAATTTTCTTCCAAAGTTTGTAATAAAACCAATGTTTTGTTTTATAATAAGCCACTGAATTACTTAATGACCAGCTCTATAGTCTTTTGAATGATGCATTACAGCTGAGAATTCAGAACATCCCACTGCAAGGTGAGTCACTGAGTGGACACTTGATACAGAGCAATGCCTGTACCAGACCTACTATGTCCTCCAACCACTAAGCTCAGCCAATCTGAATAGCTTTAATAAGACAGACCAGTTTTTACCCTTCATTTCTTATAATCATAGAATTTTCCTTCTTACAAACAAAAATTATTAGAGAGATATCAGAGTGACAGGTATAATATTATAGGTGTTCCAAAAGATTACAGTCAGCTGGAAACATTGAATTGATTCATAATAGTTTTTCAAGGCTTTGGGTCGTTTGCATTTTTAAGTTTGTATCAGACATTGCAATTGTTAAAGATAAATTAGATGACTACCTAATAAACTAAAAATGGAACTCCCATTTGACCCAGTGGTCCACTTCTAGGACTATATCCCAAGAAACTAGAAACACCAATTAGAAAGGATATATGCATCCCCATGTTCATAGCAGTACAATTTACAATAGCTAAGATTTGGAAACGGCCTAAGTGCCCATCAGCAGATGAGTGGATTAAAAAACTATGGTACATCTACACAATGGAATACTATGCTAAGGTAAAAAAAAGAAGCAATTCTTACCATTTGTAACAGCATGGATAGAACTGAAGAGCATTATGGTAAGTGAAATATGCCAGTCATAGAAAGATAAATATCACATGATCTCACTCATTTATGGAATATAATGAACAACATAAACTGATGAACAAAAATAGATCCAGAGACAGAGAAACATCAATGAGACCATTAAACCTCAGAGGGAAGGTGGGGAAGGGTCGGGGTAAGAGAGAGAGATCAACCAAAGGACTTGTATGCATGTATATAAGCATAACCAATGGACATAGACAACAGGAAGGTGAGGGCATGAGTGGGGAGGATAAAGGGGTAATGAGGGAATAAGGACACATATGTAACATCTTAATCAATACAGAAATTTAAAAAAAGATAAATTAGGTAGTAATAGTGCCAGAGGCTGAAAGGTAATTAGGCCACACAGTACATCTCGTGTCCACATCCCATGCAATTTTTGCAGAATGCTGAACTATGTAAACCGCTATTATAAAACAGGCAATTATTGCACCACATTTTCCATAAAATCCACCCAAGTAAATATTGTAGGCTCTCATCTTTGCAGATGAGCATCTTGCCTTTGAGAAGATACAGTAAAAAAACAAACAAACAAACAAAAAAAAACACGCCAAAACCCAGCAGGAAGATGTCTTGTTTGGGATAATGTAAGTTTTTCCTTTCATTAGCTCTCTCCTCCACCTCTTTTACTCACCCAACAAGCATTTATTGAGCACTTTGTACCAGGCACTGTTCTAGGCTCTGGGGATACATTGAATAAAACATAGGAAAGACCCTGCCCCAGGGGGCTTACATTTTAGTAGAGGGAGACAGACAAAAATCTAAATATGTAATATCACAGGGTTTAAAAATTGCTTAGAAATATCAAATTGCATTCACTGGTTTGATTTCTGAAATCCGTGTACTGACATCTCTGATAAAGTGAGAGGAGAAGCCGTTAGTGAACTCTAGACATTTTATGAGTTTCAGGTTCACGATTTCTAAGCTCAACCACTCTAAGCCTCCATTTCCTCATCCATAAAATGAGGGGAGGTAGAATTAAGTAATTTTTTAAAGGCAAAGGGCCATTTTAGGCTCTTTTTTATTTTTATCGTTTTAAAGGAGACTCTTGCACAAAGTCAAGAGCCAGGTTGATGAGTGTTCTATGATTTTTAAAAATCTTTAAAAATGAATATAAGAAATCCTTAGGTATTCCACATACACTTGAAATGCCAATCAAACCTTCATAAAATAACAAATGTCTTATTTACAACTGCTAAAGAATGAAATCCTGTTACCATGATCATGAGCTAGCTGAGACAAAAGTTATTTATTCATAAAACCTGCTCATTTCCATTGTTGGTTGCATAATCCCAGCCCCACCTCATTTGCAAAAAGTTCTAGAGCTGTGAAATCCTCTCCTCAGATCACTGACCTTGTGTCCCTAATTAACCTTTTCCACTGGACTATGAGCTCAACAAAAACTGGAGTCGGGTTCTCACTTCTTTGAAGAACAACACACATGAGATTCTGTCCAAGTAATCCATAGACGTGAAAACCATTGCACCCACCCCATGTTTTATAGGCCTTTTGGAGTCAACATTAGCTCTTTGGCTATAGAAATAGTTTTGCTTAGTAAAATTAGAGCTTTGGTGTACCAAAAGGCACTGTAATGTCCAAAAAGAAAGAAAAAAAAAAGGTTTCCAGAACAATTCATAGACTAGAACAGTATGAATTAATGCATATCCTAACCTCTTTGGAAGCCCTGGTGGAATGTTAATGTATATTTAATAATGCAAGTGAAATAGCACATCTTTTGCAATCAATTTTTCTTTAAGAAGATAATACTGCTGGAGAGCTGAGTGTCAAATAAGGCTGGGCCCATACTTATTAACTTGGTATGAGTTATGAAACCTCTGATTCTCTTGAAAGACAAATTGCAGTCACTGGTTTGATTTTGAAATAGAAAAACCTCAAATTTCAATCAATCCAGCAGCTAAGGATGACAGGAAATTTTGCAGGACTCTAAGGAATCTTATTTTCTTATCTGGATCAGATCCCCACTGACACCTGGAGGTTTCTGAAGGCTGCATGCTCTGTCTTTGAGTTTTATCGGTTGCTGTGTAATCAAATATCCTACACATGTTTTCAAATTTGATCAGGCAGGCCTCATCAGAAGGACACATCTTGTCAGTGCCTTTAGAGGCAAAGTGAAATCTCTGTCTCAATAACTGAATTTAATTCCTTCCTGTTGCTCTGTGGTGTCAAGATATATATTATAGAATGTCAATGTTATCAGAACTGCCTAACATGGGCTGCTGTGTAGAGCCTTTACTATCTTGTCAGTCGCTGAAAAGGAATAATGACCACATCCTTGCTTGGGTGATGTGGTCAGTCGCTGATGTGGTCATCACTTCAGGACAAGATGGGCAAGGGCATTGCACGTCACCTTGAAGCAACAGCATGACATCTTCTAACAATAAACAAGATCTCAAACTGTGCTGTATGGACTATGAGGGCAGGTCCAGCAGACATTAGTTGTATAAACAAAAGTCAGAGAAGAATAAGGAAGTTCAGATGACTTTTGGCAACCTAGATCACAGTTACAGCTAAATTCTTGTTAGTAAAAGAAATGCACTTTGGTGTACATCATGGAATTTGTGTATGTGTTCAAGTTGTTGAGTATATGCTACCAATAAGAATGCAGTCCCTTTCTCACAAGGATAGGCAGGAGGAATGTAAAGTCCTGATGACGTTCAGTGTCCTTTCATCAGTGTGACTTCAGCCCTTCCCAACCAACCCAAAGGGTCCATGGGTTGGACAGAAGAGTGCATCAGGCTGTTCTTGGCTGGCAGGTTTCAGAAAGTCACTGGGCGCAGTGTACTCTTTGGGGTCGAAGTCTCTGAGCTGATAACTCTTAAGTCCAAACCTCCATGGGCACCATGGCTTCTTTGGTTCCAACAGAAGGCAGTAGGCTTTCTCCAGACAAGAAATTAAAGGGGAATTGCACCAAGAACCCACGAATCTTTTTCAGTTCCTCCTCAGCTCTAATGGGATCTTCCTTTGCCAATATGGGCTTGGTTATAAAGTCTCTCAGCTGAATAAAAGTTTGCACTTCATCATTGGGGAGGCACCGGAACACCTGATTAAAACACAAAGAGGAAACAGTGGTAAGTTTAAAAGAAAGCATCCCATTTTTGTAAAATACTAAATCTTGGCTTTATAAAACACATATTAGTTTTATGTTACAGCATAGAGCTGACTGAAAAGTTGCTTTTCTTATTTATGACAAAAAAACAGACAAATTTGCTTGCTTCCAAAAATAAAATCATAAGTAGACTCATGTGGGATCTACACAAATTATTAACCCCAGGATAATGTCAAGCTTATAGTGAGGAATTTTATTGATGTTATGTTTTAGATAATAACCCTTAGTTTCAGTGGAGGTTCTAGATTAAGAGAAAAATTGTATAATTTATCTTCTCTGACTTTTTTATTTTGAAAAATGTTCCTATCTGTACCTTTTCTTAGAGTTATCCACTATATACTTATTTTGCTCATTGAAAATATATTTCAGGTATCATAACACTTCAGGATGCATTTCTTAAGAAATGTGTCTATAATCACAATGCCATTCTCACACCTCAGAAAATCAATTACATATTATTTAAGATGTGGTCCATATTCAGATTTATCCTGGAATCCCCCAAATGTCTTTTATAGCTGTTCTCATTCCAATCCAGGACCAAATGAGGCTATCCACTATATTTTAAAAATTACATTTCAAAAAACTGCTGCACATGACCTATTTGATCATGGCCTTGGATCTCAGTATGAAATAGGCTGTGTAGATAGTGGTCATGTTTCATTAGGAATGATGAAATCTCTGTGCTGGAGGGAGGGGGCTCTGCAAGTCATGAAGAAGAACACTCTCTTCACCAACCTGATAGATGGTCAATGGATCTCAGCTTGAGTATTTGCTATGATGCAAAGCTGGCTACTTCGTGAAGTAACCTGTCCCATGGTTAGACAACTCTTAACTCTTGTACATAATCAATGGATAGAACTTACCAGGAAATGCATTTGGCCTCCCTAACAAATGGGGCTGGTTTTAAAACACCTTTCCAAAATTAGAGCTGTCCAACAAAGTGAGTGTCTTATTATTAATAAGCTTCATTATAAGGATGGATACCATGTACTATGTGATAGTTACATTTAATAGGATAATTTTTAGCCTCATAACTACCCTACTGAATATTCTTTATAATTTATAGAAGAATGGAAGGCTCCGAATGTCAAGTCACTATTCACAAAGTTATATTACCAGCAACTGGGTGAGCTGGGTTGAACCCAGTTCTGACTCACTTTTCAATCCTATCTGCCTCTTTTTTCTTTGGCCCCAGACATGTATAAAGGCTGGGTAACCACCTAAGAATGCTCATGATGGATTCCTGAAGCAGATGAGAGATCAGAATGACACCAAAGTCTCTTCTAAACCATAATCTGTGGTGCTTTTTGACTCTTTGCTTTCTAATATCTACAGAGAGGTATTTTGTTACAACTTGGAGGTAAACTGTTTTTTTACACTCATTAAGAATACTCCATACCACTGAGCCAAATCGGCTATAAGAACAACCAATGGACACAAAACTCTGGGGAGGGAGGGTATGTATGAGAGGGAGGAGGAAATATTAAAATATGTACACAGATAATAATTTAATAATAAAAAAAGAATATTCCATACCAATAATATGCAGAAATAACAATGTACTCTTGTGATGAAATTCAGTGAAGAAAAAAAGGCAGGGCGAGTGGGGTGGGGGGCTATATAAGACTTACCTTGTCATAAATTGTAGCATTTCTAGCTGCTGTTGAAACCCACACCTCCTTGAAGAATTTGTCACTCACTGGATCCTGAATGTCCTCACTTGAGTCAGAAAGATAGCCAAGGACAACCCTGAAATACAAGTGCCATTAGCTGAGACTGGGAATTCTGTGGATAGAGGGTCAGTTTGTGGGAGAAGGTTTGGAATTCCATTTTTAATCTATTAAAATATCTATTAAATAGTCAAGTGGCAATGTTAGGCAGGCAGTTGAAAAAATGAACCTGGAGTTTGGGAGGGAAGGCTTGGCAGGAGATATACATTTTAGAATTGTCTGTATATGTATACTAGAGGCTAGGTACATGAAATTCCTGCACTTGGGGTTGGGGGGGGGGTCCCCTCATCCTAGCCTGTACCCTCTCCTACCCCAGCCCTCAGGGGATGTCCGACTGATGGCTTAGGCCTGTCCTTAGTGCTGCCACAGAGGCCAGAGAGGCTCCTGCCACAACTACTGCACTTGCCAGCCATGAGTCTGGCTCAGTGCTTCTGGATGAGCAACACTCCCCACTGTGGGAGTGCATTGACCACCAGTGGGAAGCTCCTGTGTTGAGCTTCTGCCCTCTGGTGGTCAGTGCGCATCATAGCAACTGGTCATTCTATAGTTTGATCTATTTGCATATTAGCCTTTTATTATATAGGATGCATAAAGCCATGTGACTTTAACTGGGTTTACCCAAAGGAGTGAGTATAACCAGAGAAGGGGACCTGGGGCACTTCAGCAGATGGGGAAAGGAGGAGTGGCCATGGAAACTGGAGAAAAGCCAGAGGACCTTGTATCCCAGAACTACCCTGTTTCCCCGAAAATAAGACAGTGTCTTATATTAATATTTTCTCCCAAAGTTGTGCTAGGTCTTATTTTCAGGGGATGTCTTATCTTTCCATGCGCTAGGTCTTATTTTCGGGGAAACACTGTACATGACATACAGCATCAAGGAGAACTGTGTTAATTTCAAATGAGAAGTGACCATTGATTGGATTTAACAGTGTGGAGGTCCTTATGTTGTTATGTCCCAATTGCTCCAACATTATCAACTCCTGAAAAAGCTCAGTCTTACAGGGATAAAAAAGCATCTCCTTTTAGTTTTAGTCTACATTTTTTTTTCTATATTAAAATTCTTTAAAGTAAGTGGATCTGGCACCATGGGCTCACTGGTAATCTTGGAATTTTGTAACCTCAAATTCTATTTCCACTTCAAATAATGTCTCCTTCAGCTAAAGAATACTAATTCGGGGAAATGGTAGGGCAAGAAGTAGTATTAAAATGCGCAGCTACAATAACATAGGAATCACTTTTACCCAGGTCTTCGGAAATGATGTTTGCACACGGATGCTGCTGCTCATTCAGTCCCAAAGCTAAAATTGACTGCACCTAATTTGAGGGGCTGTCCAAGTTATATTAGTAACAATAAATCAGTTATAATAATGCCTTTGATTTGGGTCGGGTCTAACCAACTGAAAACTGAGCAAAAAGACTATCTCTGTGACTTTGCTTTGAAATTAGAACAAGCGGTAAGGCACTGTATCTACCATGCTATTGGTGAAGAGCTTGTATGTAGAAAAAGTATTTAAATAAGTCTATAATAGACAACATCTAGTAATAAATTAATTTCCCTGTCAGTTTTTTAATAAGAAACCTATGATAAGAAATGCACAGTGAAAATATGAAGTACTCTGGGTATTCTTCTGAGGACTAAGGTTCCAGAGAAAACGAGTTTGCTTTTATATTTAGGTGTATAATGGCAATTATTTATTTAAAGTTGAATTGTTTACACATCAGTGGGACAATAGAAAAACTGCAAAAAATTGTTTCTGTTCTTTCCATTTCTCACGTCTGTTGCTTTAAATGATTCTGACTCTACTTGTGAAGATAATTGTTTCTGTGGAGTGACAGTTATATCTGTGAAGTTTGGATAATTTTCTAGGACTTAATGAACTGTTGGAAATATAATTGCAGCTCCCTGATTACTGATTCTACTTAGAATTAACTTCACATTAAAATATGTCTCTCTATTTTTCCAGGTGGCAAATGAATTGAAGTTGCATTTTTTGTTGAAGTTGCATTTTTTAAGAGGAAAAAAATGGCCACAATATTTATGTTTGAGAATATTTCATAATAAAAGAGCTAAAATGGACACAAGGCTCTTGTGGTGCTTTTTATTTATTTTTTGCTTTTTAATATATTATATGTGTTTGCCATGGTGGCAAAATGAAAATGATTGTTCAAGAAAAACTGCCTCTTTAAGACAGTTTGAAAATAGCCAGGAAAAACTTTTTAAAAAGTGGAATGATATATGTCAAATGTTAAAATTGTTAGCACTGCGTGGTGGGATTACAAATAAATTTGATTTTTTTAATTGTTTTTCTGTGTTTGCCAAATTTTGTACAATGACAATATGTTGGAATCAGCTCTACCTACTATATCAGCAGAAAATCTGCCTAACAATGAGGTACTACTTAAAGGAATTATGGCATACGTAATATAATGTAGCATTAGATGTTATAGGATACTTAATGAAAGTGTGTGTAACATTACATAAATAAAATAATTTTGTAGTTACTGCAAGATCTTAATCATGTTTTCTTTAAAAAGGGCATAAAGTGCCGGGACCGGTTTGGCTCAGTGGATAGAGCGTCGGCCTGCGGACTGAAAGGTCCCGGGTTCAATTCTGGGCAAGGGCATGTACCTTGGTTGCGGGCACATCCCCAGTAGGGGGTGTGCAAGAGGCAGCTGATTGATGATTCTCTCTCATTGATGTTTCTAACTCTCTATCTCTCTCTTCCTCTCTGTGAAAAATCAATAAAACATATTTAAAAAAAAGGGCATAAAGTATAGCAATATATATGAATAGAAAATAAGTGGAATGATATACTTCAAATGTTAAAATTGTTAGCACTGGTGGTGGGATTACAAATAAATTTGATTTTTTTTATTGCTTTTCTGTGTTTGCCAAATTTTGTACAATGGCAATATGTTGCAATCAGCACCACCTACTACTATAATTATTATTCTTTCAGAACGTTATAAAGAAGCCCACCGCTTTAAAGAAAAGACTTCAGCTGATGGAACTAAAAAAATTATGATATTTCTAGTGTACACAAGATATATTTTTTTTCTGCCTATGCTGCAGTAGGCAATCAATGGGTTGATTAGCAGGATACTAATTTTAAACTCTCCCCTGCTAACCAGACACGTTAGAAGCTAATTGAAATACCAATGGTTTGAAAAAAAAAAAAAATCTTACTGGCAAAACAATTAGCAACAAAGGCAATAAAAATTGTGAGAAGGTATTGACAGTCCAATTCTGAGGAATGGGTTTGCTGAACTCCCATGGCAGTAAGAACAAAGTGAACCGTTTCTAAAATGGAAGCTTTTATTCTTTTTTAAAAGCAGATGTAGGAAGGAGGGAAATGGCCACCAGCATTTGCAGGAAGGGAGGGGCTCATTTTGGACCCATCTGTAAGGCAGCCGGCTTCCAACAATGACCACGAACACCAGAAGGGTTAAACCGGTGCTGTTTCTTGTGTCTGTGCTGTGCCTTTCCCCAAATAGCTGAAAGCACAGCCCTGATGCAGGGACACCTGCTGCTCTCACTGTGAAACCCAATCCTGGCGAATAGAGTTCTAGAATCTTGGCTGTGAAGATTCTACAAAAGTCCAGAGGTGAGAGAGTGGTCAGGGGTGTCTGCAGACAGTGGGAGCTCAGAGTGTCTCACTGAGCAAGGGATGACAGAGGGGAGAGAAGGAGCCATCTCCGAGTTAGGTTCCAAAAAGATCCCTGGTCCCTGAGCCTAGATAACTGGGCCTGGGGTGGGGCCAGTGTGAGCCCAACTCTAGAAAGTTCTCAGCAACAATTAAATGAAGGACTCTTCAGCTCAGCTAGTATGGTTCAGTGGTTGAGCGATGACCTATGAACCAGAAGATCAGGGTTTGATTCCCAGTCAGGACACATACCTGGGGTTACTGGCTTCATCCCCAATGTGGGGTGTGCAGGAGGCAGCCGAATAATGATTCTCTCCTACCATGGATGTTTCTATCACTCTCTCTCCCTCTCCTTTCCTGTCTGAAAACAATAAAAATATATTTTAAAAATAATAATAAACAAAGGATTCATTTCGGGCCATGTGACCCTTGCTTCCTAACCCTGTGTTCTCTCTGATTGATTCCAGATTTGTTTAAAATTCACACCTTCTTGTAGAAGGTCAGCAATCTCCCATGTCTGGAGCCATCTTCCATGAGAACCAAAGTTTTCACATGTAAAATAATACCAGTAGTCCCTGGCATTCACCGATATGACTTTCATTATATCCTTATATTACTGGAACTATTTCCATTTCTAGAAATAAACTCATTATAAAATACCTTAAATAGATACTGGATAGTCTGACCTGGCCTACTCCTAAACCCATTAATAGATTTAAAATGCCAGTTTCTTCACAACACATGCACATAATACAAACCATTAACATAGAAAATGTCAGAGCCACACATCCTGCCATTTCACAGAGTGCTGGGAGTTCATGTCCTGTATCTGGGAGACACGATTAGAGGAAGAAGAACCTGAGAGGACAGGTGAGGCTGGGCACAAGGACACAAGACAGACCGGGCGTGGAGGCTCACCTAAAGCACTGCAGCCGGAGTCCCAGGGCAAACTGGCCGGCCTGGTACTCTTCTCCATCCATCACGGAAGGGACCATCTCGGTGTCCTGCACAATGACTGCCATCTCACTGTCTCGCTTTCCCAGCATGCTTCGGTCGTTGATGTTGGCAGAGCCTATCGGAGAAACAGTGAGAAACTGTTAGCTGCCCTCCCACTCGGTCCTACCTTGCTAAGAAAACCTTAATTGTGTGCAGGTTATCAAGAGCAGCTGTGCTTTAAGGCCCCGGGCCCTTCCCAAGCCGGGGGTGCATCTTGATCAGTCTAAGCCAGCAGTTAGAATTTCATTATCTTGGCCAGTGTTGGACGTAGGTTGGGTCTTTAACATGATTCCAGGCAGTGTGACATGGGGAACAGTCTGCTAGGGGCTTCTGCGAAAGTTTTTTTTTTCTTTTTTTTTTTTTCCCCTTTTGATAAATTGAGACAGGAACAGAATGCTGCTGCTTCCAGCCTTTGGCTATTTTCTCTGAGCAGGTGGGTGAGGATGTGATTCCTAGGGCTGCTGCAGCCATTTTGTAACCATGAGGAGACAGACAAGCTGAAGATGGAAGGGCAGAAAGAAGCAAAACCTTGGGTCTCTAGGTCACTGAATTAGCCAGCTCTAGAACCTTATCACTTCCTGTTATGTGAAATAATACATTTTCCTTATTGTTTCACACATTTCTAGCTGAATTTTCTATTTTGTGGCTCAAAGGATTCTAACTGCTATAATCATTAAGCATATTAAGAATAAAATATATGCTTAACAGTTCAATTCAGTCAGTTTTGAGACTCAGACTTTGTAGACTTTAACTTATGATCATAGAATTATGAGCGTCAAAACCCAAGAGTACCTTCACAAACAAGAGTCCACTCTCAATACAGATTATCGTCAGTGGTTCTGGGTTTTCCATTCTCTTGCCTCACTTGTGTGGCATGCCAACAGCTTCTATATCAACTTTCTTCCACCCTATTTTTAAATCCAAATGAGCTAAGAATGTTGACTCCCATGTGAAGGGCAAAATTATTTTCATAGTTCAACCTGTGCTTGCTGCGTTCCTCAGCCTCACATTCAGAAACCCCAACACGTTTTCTGTGTTAATCACTGCAGATTCATTCTTTAAATCCTTGAGGTGTCCTAGAAACTACAGAAGGCCTGACTCGTTCTTTCTTCTCACTCCTCTTGCCCTAATCACATATTCCTCTGCCTCTGGGGGAGTGGAGCAGAAGGAGTGGGCCCTGTGATGGGGACGCTCAGGGTGTAAGGGGACAGCAGGTTGATCCGTGCCCACCTGGAGGGATGTTGTACATGAGAAAATCGGGTCCATCTTGAAGAGACATTACTACCATTTGCACAAAGTTGTCATGTAGTTAATGTGCAAATCTGTGGTAACGATGGATACGAATGGAGCCCCATAGTGACCCTGGATGACAGGGGAAGGATAGAGCACCTCACCAGACATTTGGGAGCACTACCGGAACGCTGTAAGGTGACAAGACAATCTTTGAAACACTTCGTTTTGTTAGCAACCAATCGTCCTTTCTAAGCACACTTTTTGATCACACTAGAAAATGTACAGCTGTATCTTTGGATTGGACAGTTGGCACAGCCTTAATGTGGGAAAAGCCACTTAATCTTTCTCAGCTTTAATTTGCCTTTTCTACATTGAGGTCATAATGTCATTGTAAGAATTAAGTAAGGTCACGTGAAAGCACTTGCTAATCTATGAATGGCTCTACAAATGGTAACTATTATTGGCATCATTATCAAATTCCTGTTGATGCTTTACAATATCTGCACCAGAGAACACTGCCGTAGAAAAGGACAAGTAGCATTTGTATCAGAGAAGCCTCCTCTCTGGGTTAATCACCCCTCACCCTGGTGTGTAAACTGCAGCATGGAGAGGAACCAAGTTTTCACAGTGCTGTTTTGGGACTTCACTACCCCTGGTCTCCAGCAGAGGCCGCTCTCGGGCTGCAGGCTGCTGGATTGGGTAGTGATCACTGATCACTGCTCTCTATTGTCAGGAAAATGGGGGATGGGAAGCCTTCTCTACACACACACACACACACACACACACACACACACACACACCCTTTCACACCAGTGTCCCAGTCTCCCTCCCACCAAGGTGGACCCTATTCCCAAAGAGGGAAACACATTCCTGGCATTCTGAGCTGGAATTCTTAGAGAGAGGAGTGGCTTTTCTATTTCCAGGGCTGATTTGGAGTTACCCAAGGCACTGACTCTCAACCACATTGAGTAAGCATTGGCTACTATTTAATAGGAATGTGGAAAAGGGCTGAGAATATTATAATAGATGAATGTAATAAATGAGATACTGAATATGAGATGTTAGTTGATGTAAATGCTACCTCTATTCTTGTTAGATGGTTCCACATTCTGAAAACCAATTTCAGAACAGCAGATATAACATTATCCTACTTTACGACATGGGGAAGAAGAGAGGGCAAGGCTCTAGATCAGTGGTTCTCAACCTTTTTAATGCCACGACCCTTTAATACAGTTCTTCATGTCATGGTGACCCCCAGCCATAAAATTATTTCCATTGCTACTTCATAACTGTAATTTTGCTACTGTTATGAATCGTAATGTAAGTATCTGTGCTTTCTGATGTCTTGGGTTACCCTGCTAGCAGTTCTCAACAGGTTATAGAGCCTAACACATATGGCCATGTGTTACAGCCATAAAAGACAAGGAATTCACCAACTGTATCCTATTTTAGCTTACTGAAGGACAACCGATTCTTCCAATGAACCCACGTCAGCTCTCCTGTCCCCCAACCTACTCGTATTCCCTGTGTGTCCAGTTCAGAAGCTCTTAGCTTGGACTGTCCATGAGCATCGCCTATGAAATGTTTAAAAAAATACAGGAGCCAAGAAACAAAAACAAAAACGCCTTGATGTCTGGGCTCCAGACCAGACCAATTAATCACAATTTCTGCGAGTAGAAACCAGTCATTAGTATTTTGCAATACTATCCCATACCTTCATCTATCTATTAATCTATCCTTTTGGGGGGGAACAGGAGAAGGAGGTGGTGAATCTAGTTTAAGGTAAATTGCAGGCATGAATATACTCCCCCCTTCCCCTCAATGATATGTTTTCTTAAAGCACCCCAGGCAATTCGAATGCAGCCAGGGTTGAGACCCATGAGACTAGATCCAGTAGAATCTCCCTTTGCTGGGGCAGCCCTTCAACTACAGCCACTCACCTACCCAACCTGACCTTTCTGCTCTGGTTCTGCACATCACAGGGATGCTCTGGTGTCAGGTGGAAAGAATACCCACCACCCTTCCCGCCCCGGAGGGCTGCAGGGCAGCGGCAACATCCGATCCCATCTCCCTACTGTTCTGTGCGGTGGGTCACACTAAAACATCATTTCTACTTCTTCAACCGGATGGAGTTAAATTATACATGAGGACAGCCTCATGTTTAGGAAAAGCAAATAAATTGTTAACTTGGTTCACTGACAACATTGAGTCTGATTTGGACATAGGCTACCTAACTAGCAGGTCACCCAGGCCAACAGATAATGAAAGCTATCCACACAAGAGACCTTCAATGGGAGAAAACAAGTATTTCCTCATGAGGAAAAAGCGAGGGTGAACAATGAGTACTTGTTTTTCTTATATCAATTGTCCAATCATTCTGGCATATGTTTCCCATGTTAGAAAATTTAATCATGGATCATTTTAACATCTTTTAAGCTTCTAGATACTTGCTTAGCCCTTTTCAATATTCTTTTTTAAAAAATATTTTATTTATTCTTTACAGAGAGGAAGGGAGAAGAAAAAGGATAGAGAGTTAGAAATATCAATGAGAGAGAAACATCAGTCAGCTTCCTCCTGTCACCTCCCACTGAGGATGTGCCCACAACTAAGCACATGCTTCTGAACAGAATCAAACCTGTGGCCTTTCAGTCTGCAGGCCGATGCTCTATCCACTGAGCCAAACAGGTCAGGGCCTGTTCAGTATCCTTCACATAACTTCTCAAACACCTCTCTGAGAATTGCCCATGTTGTTCTCTGTGTTATGGACTTAAACAGGGCTGATGTGTGTGAGAGCATCATTGTTTACTCTTAGAGTCTCCATTGAGATAAAAGGAGCAGAAGCACCTTTGGAATTTTCCAGGGGGAGTCTGTGGTGCACTTGAGGAAGGAGAGAAAAAAATCTAAAGACTAATGTAAGACCTCTTCATACTCCACAGGCACCCACATCTTCAGTTTCTACTGAGTAGACTGGAATTATGGGCAAAATGGATCTGCTACTGTTAGCCCAAATAAACTGTAACCTTTTAGTGGTTCAGAGACTTTTCTAGAAAATAAGTAAATTAAAAAAACACAGACAACCGAGTGAACTGATGGCTCTGTTGCTGAAAACTACAATGCGTGTGTACTTTATGTAAAATAAAGCAGGTTGAAAGCCCAAATGACTTTTACAGGTAAAATATTTACAACTGTCATTTTTTACTTCCAGAGTTCTGAAGTCTTTCTAAAGAGATCCAGTGAGCTTTATTTCACTTTGTTTGTTTTTCCATTTCAGCAAACATCAGTATTTCCCCTTCCTACTATCACTGCCGAACTTCATACAAATATATTCTGAGATGGCTTCTGAAGAGCAAGGCCGGAGTAGCTGTGGGAAATAAGAGAAACCCTGTTTGGGGGGAAATGGGGGAGGAAATAAATCCCTACAGTGCTCTGGTCCCTATAGAGCAAGGGATCAGCAACACAAGACATTTTTTTTAAATGTCCTTATATGTATAAAAAGTGTGTGTGTGTGTGTGTGTGTGTGTGTGTCGTGCACACATGTGAGACCACACTGTGGTCTATACATTTTCTAGCTTCAGAAATTTTTTTTTCTTTCTTTTCAAATCATGTTCCAGTTAAGACAGTCTCATTACTATTAGATAAGAGACCCCCCTTTCTTCAGTGGATGATAAACGTATTTATTGACAAAACATTTCAAAACACTCCAAAACATTTGGTTTCTTAAAGAATAGGGAAGTATCTGACACTAGCTGAAAAAACAACACTCCCTTTAAAACGAGCAGAATACCCAACAGTGGGATATACTAAGGAACACCTCTACCCCTGTCAACTCACTTACCTGGATGATTGTTAATACTGTTTCTCATCCTGCCCTCTCTGTGTATGTATAACATTGCATTTGAAAGCAAAACAATTCCAGGATGTGCAAACAAAGCTTTCCATGTGTATAAAACATCTAAGCTGGACACCCATCCCTCTAAGCAAGTGGATCTAATCTGGGTAGAATATACAACCAGGAACTGTCGGAATCTGTTGATGGGAGAGGACCTCTGGAGAACTCTACTGTGTATCGTTGGCAAAAAAGGACTGCAAACCTTAGTCTGGGGTGCCTCATATCATTACTTCACAATTTCCACTACCAACCTTACACCAGCAAAGCTGGTCCCCTCTGCACCCTGGTTAATGACACCCAAAACAGACTCTAAGGGAAAAGCAAAACGCACAGAGACAACAATATTTTCAAATCCTTCCAATTCTGACTCTTGCACAACTTCAGAGCTGGGAAAATGGTTATGTGGGTGTGGTGCAAACACATACAAATTACCATTAGGTACCCATTTCCTCCTCATTTCTCTGCCATCAGTTACCAAAATGTAGGTACTTGGATTCAATAAAAATAAAAAATAGTAAAGAATGAAAGAGAACAAGCCCATTATTGCACTGCTGGATCACACTGCTGCCCTTGGATACTGTAATTTGCCCAATGACCATTTAATTGCTCTGTGCCTGTCTTTCTTCATAGATAAAAAACAGGGATTAGAAAGGTTGTAGACTGCTCCAGAAATGTTTTAGATAGTATGGTACTGTCTCTCTCTACTCCAAAGGAAGCTTGGGAGGAATAGAAAGAGTGATTTTTGCATGATATAAGTCAACGAGCAAGAAACAAAATTAGAGACCATCTACTTACCAATGATAACAGTGTTGTCATCAGCAATTAGCAATTTGCTGTGGACATAGATGAGTTCAGTGACTAGGTTTCCTTCAAGCTCTGCATGTGTTCTAAGACCACAGAATGATATATAATTTATCCACTGATTGCCAACTGTAAGTTTAAAAAGAAATGACTAAAATTAATATAGCCAAGCTCTATAAAGACACATTACATTTTATCAAAACAAACATACTACTTAAGCAGACTGCTAAGAATATATGGTGTAATGTGTGTGTGAATGTGTGTGTGCAATTTCAGAACTCACTCAGGATCTATTTTTGCTATCTGAAGAATTTTATACTGTTGACCTGGTGCATATAGATTGAAGTGCTTTCTGTATCTTCCCTTTGCTGAGGCAATCCAAAAATATATTTAAGTATGAACATTTTATTTTAGTGATTTGATGAGTAACTACTTAAGTGGGATCATTAAAACCGAGCCAGCAAAGATAACCCAAGACTCCGGTGTGACATTTGCATCTATCTTGGTGGACACCTGCTCCTGTTTAAATCAGATGCAAAATGTGTGCCCAAACTACCTGATGTATGCACAGTATGTAGCATATTCAGCATGAAGAGGCAGTTAAATTTTACAGACTTTGGGTAAATAAAAATGTTGGCAATTAAATAACACTCCTTCTAAATTATTAAAATTAGGACATGAAAGGAATCCTGGCTACATTCGGAGAGTTTTCTTCAGAGGAAGCCTAGCCAGGTTTGTACTTGAATACATTGCCCTCTCATTATGTGAGGGCCACTCATGTGATATGAGATGCATTCCATACCAAGCCAACCCTTAACTACTGCCCTGACCTGAGTGGCAGACACAAGACTGTGTGGACCCTTTCCCACAGAGCCGTTGTCTTGGATGTGCAAAGTCTGATACTAGAATAAATCAAGTGGAACCAATCCATCACAAATTCTAATAGAAAGAGAATGCACATCTTTATTTTTTTTCTTTTACAAGAATCTAAAGCACTTTAATAGAACCAATGGAGTCAATGTTCCATTTACTGAAGCTTCCACACGTTACTAATGTTTTCTATTTTACTGCTGATGCTATTCAGTGTTTCTATTACAGGTGGGTATCCTGGAGAGAAGTTCTTTCACAGGTTGTATACAGAGATTCCTGCACATGCAGATAACTCTTCCCTCACCTATATGGGTGACCTTGTAGCTGTGTTTGGCAGGAGTTGATGTGCTGGTAGGCCAGTACATCGTGTGTAGGAGATGCATTTCCAAACAGTTTCATATAAAGGATATTTTTGCAAATAAGTATTTCTCCATTTGTTACTGTTCTATGGGAAAGATTTTCTGTACAAAGCATGGCCTCATCCTTGAACCAGACAAGTAATATGTATGGTGGTTGTAGTTGTCAGGCAATTATCACATAAACGGACATAAAACAAGTCATCATTGACTTAGTTTGAGACACATTTGCCCCAAGGAGACCTCCACGGGGAGTAAGAGTGGAGTCTGGATATGCTGGGTTAGGAGAACAGGTAAAATGAAGAGTTTGGATCCCTGTCCTCTGATGAGGGTGGTAGACAGAGAGAGGAGTATTTCCTCTTTTAAGCCCTTCATGCACATAAAATTCCTGGAAAATCTTTTTAATATAATGCCAAATATGTTCTCTTATAAACATTTATTTAATCCTCCATTTTGCCTACTGTTGCAGAGGGATTACACAGCTTTGGATCCCTAGTCCTTGCATAGTACTAACATAGTTGAATAGATGAGTAAGGGATGAGTGGGTATACAGGTGACAACTTGTATTTCATCTTTTGGTTTCTCTGTATTATCTACTCTCCTGCATTCGGCTCATGATCTAGAACCTAAAATTATAAGACATAAAGCAGCTTTTTAAAAGAGTCACAAAGCAAATCCTGTGCTGAAATAAACATTTTTGCAATAAGTTCCCATAAAATATTAGCATTGATCAATATAGTAGACGAATGCTTCCAGTGTGTAGAAAGACCACTTCTGAAGGATCCAATAAAAGCAGAATCCTGGGACCCTCCCCAGAGATTCTGATTCAATAGAAATCTATAATTCAAGTGTCCTGAAGGATATCATTCCTTGCAGGACACTGCCATAGAACCTTGGCCTTTATAGGCTGAAGATGAGTGTACACACTCAAAAAATAATACAGTATGACCATGGGAGATGCATTCTAGGGGTGTGAGTCTGCTCAATATGAGGAAGCCCATTAATACAATATACAATATTGATCAATCTAGGGAGAAGAATCTCTGATTATCTCAACAGATGCTAAGAAGTTTTTTACATAATTCAACACCCATTTTTTTATTAATGAAAAAATAGGAAATACTGAATAGTTTATTAACATGCTTCAAATATATAACATGAATTATATATTTATAATATATATGTATACCTATGTGTGTGTGTGTGTGTGTATATATATATATATATATATATATATATATATATATATATATTACCTTGGAGGTATTAGCCAACACAATTAGACAAAATAAATCATAAAAGAAGTAAAACCACCTCCCATTTATATAATAAAACGCCAATGGCCTTAATGACTAAAATGAACAAATGAACAGACACCAGGGAGTGCATGGGGCACCTTTTGGACTCTCCCCCATGGCCCATAGCTCCTATCACAGCAAGGCTGGCAGCCAGTGGGTGGGTGGGGTGGTGGGCAGATGGGCAGGGAGAGGCGGGCATGGTGAGAGAGGCAGGGCCTGATCTGGGGTTGCCATGGAGGATGCGGATCAGGCCCAGAGAGAGAGGCAGGGCCTGATTCACAGTGGCAGTTGGACATCCCCTGAGGGGTCCCAGATTGGAGAGGGTATAGGCTGGGCTGAGGGACCCCTATCCCCATGCAAAATTTCGTGCACTGACCCTCTAGTTTATAGATAATATAATTGTATTCTTAGAGAATCAATGATAAAATTATCTCAAACAATAAAAGAATAAGCTTGCTATCGATAGAATATAAATTAATATGTAGCTCCACACACACAAACAATATCCAGAGGATATAATCATAAATAAAACCTCACAACAAAGAAGATGAACACTTAAAGATAAACTTAATAATAAATGTGTAAAATTTTTATGAACAAAAATTTAAACACTATTGAAAGACAACAGTCTATTCTTGGACAAATAAAAAGACATCCCTTGTTATGGGATAAATCAATTCAATATTTAAAAAGTGCTAACTCTCTTTAGATTAATTTATAAATTTAATGTAATCTCAATAGAGAAACCAACACATTTTTATGGAGCTACAAAACCTGGTCAGATAGTTTATATGAAAAAAACAACAACACCCAAGGATGGTTATTAATAAAGCCAGAAAAGTTATGACAGAGCAGTAATCCTATCCAATATTAACACATCTACCAAGTCTGTATAATTAACACAGTACAGACTGGCACATAAATAGACAGATGAACCTGAGAATGGAATAGAAAGTCCAGAAATAGATCCAGTTACATATGTAAATTTTGCATATGTACATAAAGCCTGCATCCCAATTACTAGGAAATGATATATATTTATATACCTAAGCAACCATCCAATCGCCTGAATATTCTACCATCCCACTGGTAGCTATGATGTGCACTGACCACCATGGGGCAGACGCTTAACACAGGAGAAGAAACCACAGGCATGGAAACATGGAACAGACTGATGAATCTCAGCGGGAAGGGAGGTAGGGGAAGAGCAGGAAGAGATTAACCAAAGATCTTATATGCATAATAGATGCCCAGTGTACAGATTTATGCACTTGTGAGGTCCTCTGGCCTGGTCTGCGGGGGATCGTCAGAAACCAGCTCTCTGACACCCTCTGGGGGTCCTAGATTGCAAGAAGGCGCAGGCCAGGCTGAGGGACCCTGTCAGTGCATGAGTAAAGGACTAGTTTTTACATAAACTAGGGCTTTTTTTTTTTTTTAAATACTATATATTTTATTGACTTTTTTTTTTAATAGAGAGGAAGAGAGAGGGATAGAGAGTTAAAAACATCGATGAGAGAGAAACATCGACCAGCTGCCTCCTGCATACTCCCTACTGGAGATGTGCCCGCAACCAAAGCACATGCCCCTGACCAGAATAGAACCTGGAACCCTTGAGTCTGCAGGTTGACGCTCTAGCCATTGAGCCAAACTGGTTTCAGCAGGACTAGGACTTTTAAATAAAGGGTGCTAATATGATTGCATCTGTATTTGAAAAAGATAATAATTATGTTTTCACCTCACACCAATCACAAAATAAACTCCAAGTTGATCAGAGATAGAAATGCAAGCATATGAAACTATCTGGATGTTTTTGCAAACAAAATTTTCCATACAAGAAGAAAACAAGGTGAATTCCTATATAACCTGAATATAGGGAAGGTTTGCAACTTCCAGAGGCAATAAAATATAAGATTGATAACGCTGACTCAATTTTAAAAAAATACCAAAACACTACATTTTCATGATATAAAATACAGCAAACAAAATGACAAAGTGAGAGAAAATGTATGTCACAGATGAAGAGTGGAGTGTCCTAACATGAAAATAATAAGTGAAGGAGAAAGATCAAAGCCTTGATAGAAAAATGGGAAAAAGACGTGAATAGAGAATTCACACATGCAAAAATATACATTGGAAGAGATATTCACCCTCACTTATAATAACAGAAATGAAAATTCAAACTACTCTGAGAAACCATTTCTCACCTATGCGACTGGCAAGAAAAAGTGCGATAACACATTGTGTTTCTGAGACTGTTCTCATTCATTGGTGGTGAGAATGTAAATGGGCACAGACTGTTTGGAGGGAAATTTGGCAATATCTAACAAAATTACCTATTGACCCAGAAATGTCACTCTAGAAAATTATCCTAAGATCCAACAACTGAGAACATATAAATATGCACAAGGTTTTTCATTGGCATAACTGTAATAGCAAAACACTGAAAACAATCTAACTAACCACACATAAAAAGATGATTGCATTAACTGTGGAAGACCATGCTAAGGTTAAAAGCATGAAGATTTTGATGAACTAATATGGAGTGACTTTCAGCATATATTGTTAAATGAAAAAACAAAGTATGTAAGAGAATATGAGGTATGTT